TTCCTTGTGTATTGGTGATTAGTAAAATTCGGTGTGATTGACTTTTTAAAATGAAATTCAGAGCAAGGAGACCGATAACAAGTAAGGGTACAATATTAACTCTAGTATTGTTTCCAAGATAATTTGTAATTGAGCAAACTGCTCTATGATGTTGTAACTTTTCAAATGTGTATGAAAAGTTGAGAAACTAACATTTTTGGAACCTTTTGTGTACTGACAGTAATGTAACGAAACCAAATAAACGCTGATCTTATAAATACAGGATGTGTCTCCTTTTCGGTCTCTACTTCTTTCGGCAGAGGTCTATAGCTTGTTTTATTGGACTCTTCCTCTACCGACGTACTCTGCCGTCTCTCTTCCGCGCAGAATTCAGAAGAAGTATGGCGACGTTCATTGTCGTATGTCAGTGCAATAAATGTGAATAGAAATCTACCTACTAATTTTTACCTTTGTCAGAATTGTGCATAAATAGACACAATAATAAAGCTTAACAAATTACAATTCACTGATTAAAAATTAATAATTTACCTCGAAGATTCTTACTTTTTACGCATCACTTTTATCGGACAAATATGAAAAATTGAAGATTATCGTAATGATGACAAGAATGGCAATATTTCTTATCCACAGATAAATAAATAATTTGTTCAAAACAACAACATTTTTATCTTTTTTCATTATTCTCGCCGTCTCGTCTAGCTGATTTACTGTTATCTGCCATCTTGATCTCTCCCACACGTTTGTAGTTTTCTTTCTGCAGGCAAGAATATTCTTCTTTTGGCAAGGGTTGGTGGATACCGGAAAAACTCAGCCTTAGAGTTGAAGCAGAAAAACAATGAAATGTTATAGATGTCATTACAGCAAGAAAAAGAAACCTTAAGTGAGTCACTTAGTGAAGGGGGAAAGAATTGAAAAAGAAACAACTACTACCGAACAAGTCTATGGCTCTGTAATCAAATATGATTGAAGGCTATAAAATTTATGCTTTGCCTGAGTAATAACAATATTATAATGAGTAATTTACTTTAAATTCCGTACTTCTAGGAGGAGTGGTAAGTAAATTAGAGAAAAGAGAAGAAGACCTAGAAAACAAATGTCACAATTGTGATCTAATCATTTTCTTCAACATTTTCTCTACATTGAGCACTTAACATTTTAATGTACATGATTTCTACGTGATATGTGGCCACGTTATTCATCTTATTCGCTTTATTAAATCTGTCCTTATTAAGTGATCTAATCATTTTCTTCAACATTTTCTCTACATTGAGCACTTAATATTTTAGGCAATATTCTGTGTGATTTTAAAAATTCTTTCCGTGTGGCCATCATTTTAGTGCGTGCCATGAGGTTTTACTGAGTTATATTCAAAATTTAATCAAACTACTTTATAATCGTGATGTACGAACCAACTTGACATCAAAGCGTAGTTAATAATTTAACTTTTAATATTTCATAAATGTTAAGTTCTTAATTTTATATGACAATATCAAAAAAAAAAATCTCAATTTGATGACGCTTGCCAAGTTTGATCGTGCTAACTTCAAAACTGTGGGAGAGTTAGCTGGACATACATACAAAGCTCCAAACTGAATTAATATAGGATAATCCGATCACGTTCTCCAGTTTCTTCTTTTCGTTGAGCATTTAATATTTTAATGTACATGATTTCTACGTGATATATGGCCACGTTCTACATCTTATTCTCTTTATTATTAAATCTGTCCTTATTAACTCTGTGTGTCTGATAAAGATCTTTTTATATATTTCTTTTACATCCTAAGCTATTATAAAATACCTGCATTCTGCTGAGGGATTAAAAGACCCTCTTATGATTCACAGAGGCCCCAGTGTGCTGGTCCAGTTTCTCCAGTATACTTATATAACTATCGCTAGGTGGTCTGTACCTCATCTCCCTCCAACATAAAAAAAGTTAGGATACACACCCGTGATACACGAGTCGGGCAAAGAACACAATATTCGATGCATATTCTCGTTCAATGACCTACTATTTCATCCCAATCATGCCTGCATGATTTTGTGGACGATAAAAGAAGGACTACGGCATATAGATAAGGATACCCCCACGCCACCCTGAGTTCGTCTGCCAAGTTTGGTTCTGCTAGCTCCAAAACTGTGTAAGGGGTTTGCTATACAAAGATACGTATATGGCTCCCCCGGAACACCGAGAAGCACCAAGAGCATAAAATCTAATGCCCGAATCGGGTTGAGGGGCTCTGAAGACCTACTATTAGATCTCATTATTCCTGGCTGACTTTCCGGGACGTTTAAGTTCTTGGCCATATAGCTAAGGACATCCCCCAGGCCACCCAGAGTAATCATGCTTTTGCTGTAATTTGTAACAACTTTTATTAATGAAACACAAAAAAGGGACTAAACTTGAAGGTTTATTTGTTAGTTTTAGAACAAAACCACATTCAATTATCTGCTGTGTCCACCAAGTAAATCGAACCTCGGATTTCAGCATTATAAGTCAGTAGATTTACCAATGTCTCACCAGAGGACAAAACTTGAAGACAATATCAATTATTATTTATTTTCTCTTCAAAGAAGCAGTATTTTACGAAACAATCACGTGTTTAAAAACTTTTGAAACTTGGTTATGACCATTCGAAAAGCATTAAGGACAAAAACAGTGTGTATCTGAAAAATCATAGATACAAAGTTCTCACATGCTCAGATACCTACGGAAGTTCAGAGTGACATGTTGAACACTGAGAAATAGAAACACTAATGTTGAACCTTGCCAAGAAAGACTTTAAAAGGGTTTAACTTAAATAGGAAGTGAAAAAATTATACTTGGTTTAGAGTTAAGCACAAAGCTAAACATTGGGCTGTCTGTGCTCTACCCACCACGGATATCGTAACCCCGTTTCTAGCTTTGTAAGTCTACAGATATACCGCTGTGCCACTGGGGGTGAAAATAATAATAATGAGATAAACAGTAGATGCATATTTTTAGCCGCGGCATAGCGCTTCATAGAACGGCTCTGAGTTTTTCAAGTACAAACTATTAGCTCATAGCTCCGTCATCTCTTGACCAATTTGAGATCTAATTACAGTTTTGGACTCAAGAGGTCAAACCCTTTCAATTGCTGTATTTGACCATGCCCAAGGTCTCATAGATTTAATTTCTCTAATCCCGCCTAAAAGAATTTCAATTTGAAGGTAGGCTGGTATAGATTTTGATGAGAATTAAAATCGAATCGGGTGTACGCGCGCCCCACGCTTGGTATTGCTGGCGCACAAAAATATAGTTAATAAAAAGGAAAAAAGAGGTCTCAAAGATTAATTTTCTCTAATCCTGCCTAAAAGAATTTCAAGAGCAGCGGCTGAATGTAGTTGTGGACGGTGACTGGCCATCTTCCGACAATTCCCAATGACCACCCCTTCTATTCTTCTAGTACGAAATTAGAAAAAACAACAAAAAAAACATTCAAATACATAATTGTTCATTAAAATATTGAATGAAACTGGTGCTAAGTTCGAATAGAATACTAAGAAGAAAACTATTATGTTTATGAAAGAAAAATGTTATATTTCCACTTAATAGTACATAACAATCTATAGATGTTATTATGTATTAAATTTTCAGTGTGTTTTATTGAATACTCGAGTTCCAGGACTTTTAACTTATTTTCTATCGATCACATATTTCTTATTTTTAAGAGTTGTTTTACTAAATCACGAGTAATTGCTAACTTTTATGCAAGTTTTGTTACTGATGTACACAATAATGTGTTACTATAGTGTTAAACAAGAGGGAATCCTCAATTGCATGGAGATGGTTGTAAAATTGAAACTTAAAGAAAACTTACTTTCCCGCCTACTTAAAGCTTATTTGTTTAACAGTCTTCATCGTAGACCAACTTAAAGTCATTTTACTCGAAACACAGCACTTGGAACCTGATGCCATGAGGATTTTGTTTTTCAGTGTTATCTGATATATTTGGATATGTTTCGGAGTGTAAAATCTAATATCTCTATATTGTCAACTATACAAAGAATGGTCCTTTTTTGACAATGTTTTAACTCACTTCCCATGGTTGCAGGTTGTTCGGGCTTAAGGTCTTCAAACATCATTCGTGATCTTTCATACCGAAAGAACCTACATTTTAACTAATTTGATACTGCAGTCTTTAACTCGATGTGGCACGAGTTTTGTTATCGTGGGCGAGCTCATGTACCTAATGTTACAACTCACAAAAGCAAGAGACGCTATTTTAAACACTGTATTTTGCTCCTATATTTGCCGATTTTATTCATATTGTTAAATAAAGTAAATGACAGTCTAGAAATGCCTGAAATTTTACAGACCAAGTTTTATTTCTTATTTTTAGTTGTTAACAGAGAAACATTAGTCGGTGACTTTTCCTGATTTAATGATTAAGTTACTGGGTACTAATATTTTAGCTTTACTTAGGTCGATACTTATTTTCCTCCTTAGAATAGTAAAGCTGATTTGTAATCCTGATTTAATGATTAAGTTACTGGGTACTAATATTTTAGCTTTACTTAGGTCGATACTTACTTTCCTCCTTAGAATAGTAAAGCTGATTTGTAATCCTGATTTAATGATTAAGTTACTGGGTACTAATATTTTAGCTTTACTTAGGTCGATACTTACTTTCCTCCTTAGAATAATAAAGCTGATTTGTAATCCTGATTTAATGATTAAGTTACTGGGTACTAATATTTTAGCTTTACTTACGTCGATACTTACTTCCCTCCTTAGAATACTAAAGCTGATTTGTAATTAGGAAATTAAAACTATTATGTCTGTAGCCTGTTATAAAAAAATAATGAAATTAAGCTCCAGTAATTGATATGATTATCGTTTCTTAATGGCAGGCTTTGAACATCTAGTGTCAACACAGTTATGACTCGTGTGGTTATTATGCGTAAACACGTTCAGGTTACTGAAGTGCCTGCATTTTATTTAACTTATGTGTTGTTAAACATATTTTACAGATCGTGTACTATACCCGCGACAGCGTCGACCGTTAACAGCTATCAACCAGCCTGTTATTGGAGGAACACCCTATCACCATGGAAACTGCTATTGTAAGTCGCTACTTTTCTCGGTATGAAAGTTTGATAGTATCAGTTAGCACATTATTCGAACACTAGATGGTTAGTAGGTGGTGCAAAAGAGAATTTAAATATTTACTGAATGCACAATTATGTTTGACATAAATATACGTGTATATGTGTGTATATTGATCGCGCGTATCTCTCTGTGTGTTTATGGAGCACGGTTCCCACATATACACACACATTAAATGTAGAATGCATATTTCTTTCTGAAGTAAAAATTCATGTGTATGTCTTTATTGAAAGTATTCCTGGAACTGTCTTGGTAAAAAAATCTTGCTTATGTTCGTGAGATCTCTCTTTCGAAACGGCTACCCTGTGCATTTCTTGTAGAAGATAACTTCCTCATTCCTAACTAACAAACTCTCCCAACTCCGCTATCTATGAACACAATACAGAAACAGGACAAACTTTAAAATTATTTCAACAGTCAAACATGATACTGAACTTCTTATAAAAGAAACATTATACATAAAAACTCTTTTCCTGTTCCTAAATAACACACATTCTTCACTGGATTTAAACCTATTTTAACTATTTCACCTGTGGCTCAGTTTCATATTCTCGTGTTATATTTGTATATTCGATTTGTTTATTTCTTATGTATATATTTCTGTTGTAATTACAAATATTGTTTGTTTGTTTTGTACCTCTAGATTACTGATGATGGAATTATGACGATTCCGAAACGTTTAATAAATGCTTCCTGTTATAACGTTCGTGTTTTGTTTTATCATTAATATATATATCATTATATGATATTGCGGGCTCATGACGTGTTTTATATCTTTATAACAACGTAAGAACTTTTTCTAAATTATTGATTTCTTATTTTTTTCCGCACTGTCATGATGGCAATACGTGGTCCGTCCATAAAGTTGCTAACATTGTCTTGTTCTAGATGTTTCGACCTTTGTTCTCTAGTAGGTGGCGCCTTCTCTGTCCGCAAGGACATTTCCGTATTGTATATAGAATTAGGGTTAAACGGGTTAGCATAATTGGCTCGCCAGTTTTGATGTTAACTGAACATGACAGCCAACCAATGCTGTCAGGGAACATAAGTTACGATGTGACACTGTCCACTGGACAAAGAAAGCGAATTAATATTCTGAATGTGAGTGCACTTTCTTGTGACAAGTGGGTGTGGCAAGAGGGGTCTAATTTTCCATTTGATGGCTATGTAACAAACAAAATCAAACTTTGCCTGAGCGATGACAGCATTACAATGAGTAATTTATGTTAAATTTCGTACTTCTTGGAGAGGCGATGAATAAATTAGAGACGAGGGGATAATAGAGAAAAAAGTCGCATTTCTCACACTAGGGGAAATTCGGGATTTTTTTTTAATACTTACTTATAAAATTAAGAACTTAAAACTTATATACTATTAAAACTGAATTATTAGCTACGATTTTATGCTATGCTAATTGGTATAACATAAACAAAAGTACTTTAATTTTATTCAACTTTATTGCTGGTACACTACAACCCTTCTCAGTGGTGGAGTCAAAGGATTTTCAAGATCTAATGGCAGCCACGAATTCTCGATACATTCTTCCCAGTCACAAACTTCTGACCACAACGTTGATCGAGAGCAGGTTTGATGAAGTCCAATAAAAATTCATCTCTCTACTGCAACTTGTACCCAACATCACTGCCACCGTGGATATCTGGAGTAGCAGAATAATGTGCAGATTTCTTGGAGTCACTGGTCATTTTATAGTTGACTGAAAAATGCAAACAGTCTGATAACTTTGTAGCTCAATATGATGAAATAATAAATATCTTTAACATCCACAACAAGGTATCATATGTGACCTCTAATAACGCATCCAACATGATCAAGGCTTCATGCTTGCTTGGATTTGAGCCTCAAATGCTACCTAGTGTGAGAGATGGTGATAGCTCATCTACAAATAGTGACTCAGAATATGAACGTTTGGATGAATCTAAATTAGTAAACAATTTAGCCAAATATCTTCCTGAACATGACCACTGTTTTCTCACACGCTACATGTCAGGGATGGCATGGAAAAAAAGCTGGTCTACTGCTGAAAGTAATCTCTAAAGCATCAGCCACCGTGTCCTACATTCGAAAATCAACTCAAATAATTGACCTACTTGAGGGAGTGGCCACAGTTCAGTAGGTAACACCAACATGATAGAACTCAAAACGTAAGATGATTAAGTCTTTATTGAAGATTCCCCAGGATAAGTTGGATAATCTAGATACTGGTACACCGAAACTTACTTTTCATGATCGAACTGTGCTTGCAGATTTTGTGACAAAACTGACATCGTTTGAAGAGGCGATAGATTTCACCCAGTGTCAGAACATTGTTACCTCCAGTTATGTAGTGCCATGTGTTTATGGGCTGGTAACTGAGATTGACAGCATGCAGTCCAGATATAATTTCAATCTCGTCTCTGCACTGAGAAATCTGTTCACGCCCGGCTGACTCAATATGAGCAACAAAGTGTCTTCTGCTTGGCTGCGACATTGGATCCCAGATTTAAACCTGACTGGTGTTTTACTAGACCTGTAGTCTATG